AACTACTACTTTATCTGTTCATTGGAGAAAAAACAGCTGCTTAGATTTGATTATATAAAGACACTTAATTGTTTAATTATACAAAGCTGTAGGGTGAGGGGGGAGTGAGTCTGTGTGGCATGAGGTCATCTCCTTAATAAAACCATTGAAGTTCTGGGAGGATATCAAAGATTTCTCCCTTCCATATCCGGCATCGGTGAAAGTTTTCTTGCTTTCATTGTAGAGGTGTCTAAAATTGTTGGCTAGGCCAGTAACAACTGCCTCATTGTTTTAAGTGTACTTTCTCCATAGCATCGTTTGTTCTGCCTGAATTGGCTGGGAGAGCTTTTAGTTACAAGTGTGAAGGGGCTTTTTTCTTTTCTTTTCAAGAAGAGAAGTTAAACCTTTCTTTACTGCATTTGGACGGTGCTCCTCTCTGATGTGAGCTGTTGTTAACCATGTGAGATATATATCTTTTTCTTCATATAAAGAAGAAAAATGTGCATTATATAAAGGTAACAAACAAACAAACGTGCTAGGCGAGTGCAGCCACTGCATATACATACACCTTCAGATATTTCTCAAAATATGGCTGTTAAGATGCCAGTTCAGTATATTTTGTGTTACTGCACAATTTTATTGTTTCAGAATTGATTTTGGCATGGTAAAAAAAAAAAAAAAAAAAAAAGTCTGAAATATGCATTTTTAATGAGATGGGCTTTTACAAAGTTCCTGATGTTGGATTTTCAGTGCTGAGCTCTGTAACAGCAGCAAGCATTCTGTTTTAATAACAATCACAATAATATTTAGTATTTCTGTAGCATTCTCCATCTGAGGCTCTTACAGAGATGTACAGGCATGAATTATATATCTGTGTAATTCAGAGAGAGATCGCTATAAAACTATGAGATGGGTATTTAGATGGGAAAGCCTAATAGATAATCTAGTCATGTCCATTCGGTTAGAATTGTGATCCCTGCTTTGCAGATTGATAAACCAAGTCAGAGAGCTTGCATCCCAAACTTGCAAAAGTGTGCTCTAATGGGTACTTCAGCTGTGGATGAGCAAATTGAGATGTCAATTGACGTCTGAGGACCAAATATTCTTATTAACTTTGGATTAATGTGTGCCTATTACCTATGCACATCAACCCATAGGTATCCTATGTTTGGCTTCCAAAACTGAGGCTCTGAAAAACTAATGGATATTTTTCAAAGTGCAGGTCGTACTGCTTAGTCTGCAGGAAGTCTCTGGCAGAACTGGGAGGACCAAAACTTCTTGACTCACATTTGGGTGCTCTTAACAGGCTGTCATAGCCTCATAACAGAGTGAGAATAGTTCCCATAGGTGATAAAGAGTGCTGTTTCATTGGTCTCTTGCAGTGTCCTAGAGCTGTCCTCTATAGTTAATATGCCAGCCTTGTCAGGACCGCAAGTCTGTGGCTCCCTTGTGTCTGGTAATAGCCCTTTTTGGCACCGCGTGTTGCTCTTGGAAGTGGTTTCTGTTGACGTGCTGAGGACATTGGCTCAGGATGAACACATCCCAGCAGCAGGATGCTCAGATAAATTGTTTTGTTATTTTCCTTTTAGTGGTTTGTCAGTTTGCTCAGTTACAGCTCATCCCCGCACCCTCAGCACTCGAAACGTTTGCATGTCTGTAAAAAAGACTGATGATAAAACACCTTCCTAGGAGCCACGTGTCTAAACTTGTCTGAACCTGAGAATCCAACAGGAACAGTAACCGTCTCTGTTAAATCCTGCTAGATGCTGAGCACTCTGATCCCCACTGGAAGCAATAGGACATTCACAGTGTCACACTTTTTATCCACCCCTCCAGGGGTGCCTTGCATTAGTGTCTGGGTTAGAATGAGCAATACAGACAGACCCACAATTATCACACTGATCCACGGGGACGTGTTATCGTTAGCAATAGGAGAGCGTACCATGTCTGAGTGCAGGGAATCCAGAAGCCAGGATGTCTGTCTGAGGAACCAAGTCAAAGATCCAGAGGGTCAAGCAGAGCATGAGGTCAGGAGGCTAGCTGGGTCAGGTATCCAAAGGGTCGAGCAAAACTCGGGGTCCATGGGCAAGCCAGGTCAGGTATCCTGCAAGTCTGTCAGGAAGCCAGTAGCAGCATGAGCCAAGGGTGAAGCAGACTAGATACAGGATTGAACCTTGTTGCCAGACTTTTCCTCTTGCAGGTCAGGGTCTTATACTGGAAGGGGTGAAGAGTCAGCTCTAGGCTGGCCATTCCAGTGGTAGGGAGTGAGTGGGTGTATGGCTAGGCCCAGAGGGAGGTGGCAAACTGGGATGAATAGCTATGTCAGGCAAGCTAGGGCCCCATGTTCAAGGCTACAGCTTGGCACCCGGGCTCCCCCTACACTGGTAATAGAGTGTAATGGGAATCTGATCCCTGATCCCACAGTCATGCCTCCTGCCATGCACAGGTAGCATGGCAGGAACCACAGTTGTTGGGAGTATGCATCGGGTCCCATAGCAGTGTTAGTTGTACATCTGCCAGGGGCTTCATAAACCTTCAGAACCTTCATAAATGGGTTCGTAGCAGGTAGATCATGCCTGACTAATCTAGTCTCTTTTTATGCCCAGGTTACAAAATGCCTGGACGCAGGAGTAGGGGTTGATGTCGTATACTTAGACTTCAGGAAGGCCTTCGATACGGTATCCCACCCCACACTGGTGAACAAGTTAAGAGGCTGTGACTTGGATGACTACACAGTCCGGTGGGTGGCGAATTGGCTAGAGGGTCGCACCCAGAGAGTCGTAGTGGATGGGTTGGTATCGACC